GTTTGGCCATGTCTGCATCTATTATATTCTTAATTGCACTAATAAAATTGCTTTCTCCACGCCGACTCTTGAGAATATTATTATGTATGTTAAAAATGATTTTCCTAATCGATTTTCTTGAGACTATCGTCAGGGAAAAATCGTCTCACAATAGAAGCTATGCGGAGAAACAAACTACTTATACGTCTATAGGATAGTAGGAAGTATACAAGGTGAGGTGTGAAAAAAAGACTAAAGTGGGAGAGAATACGAAAGAAAGAAAGGAAGAAAGAAAAGGTGTTAGAGTGTTCTAGCGGTGAGAGCTACTCCAAAAGGTGAGTGAAATGAAGGCGTGGAAGCAGGTGAATGTGATAGAGTGAGGAACTGTCAGGTGTAGGTGTATGCGAATGAAAACGTGTGTGAATGCTAGGTGAAGCTACTATTTATCGCCTTAATAAAGTTATTGTCTCCTCGTTGCCTATTCAAATACCAAATGTGTTGCTTTATTGCCAGTGCGCTGTGGCTGAGCACTGCAGTTGCCTGTAGAGAGCAGTTTGTGTGTGGGGGGTTTCTTGTTTGAAAAATCTGTACAAGGCCGGATGCTCCTGCTTACTCCTAAAACCAACCACTGTCATTCTTTATAACAATGGATTTGTTTTTGTACGCCAACTGTGTCATTATTATTCTGTCCCCACTATGGTCTGCCAATTGGAAAGCGCATGAGTATTGTGTACGTGGGAAGTTCATGAATACTCACTGGGCTTTCGCCTGCTCGACCACTGGATACCCCAATGTTCAGGTTGTAAAATGGAAATTTTATCATTTAAATTCCCTGGAGGTTTCTCACTTATCGAGGGGGTGTGGTCCTTATTAATCCCTACTTCGTACTTCGAAGGGAGAGCCATGGATTAAAATTAGAAAAGAAAGGACCTCCTCTAGCTCGAGCTTCCTCCAGCTAGTGGCCAAACACTTCCCAAAAGATTCCTCCAGCTAGAGACCAAACACTTCCCCAAAGGCTCAAGCCTAAATACAATCTTCAACCGGAACTCGGTAAAAGTTAGCTACAGTTGCATGCAGAATATGGCCACCATCATCAAACAACACAATAACACGATTCTACGACCCAAGAAACAAGCCCACGGAGTTGACAACAAAACCAGGACTTGTAACAGTGGGGCAAAACACTCATGTCCACTGGACGGAGCGTGTCTAATGGAAAGCACCGTGTATAAGGCAAGAGTCATCGCAGTTATGGAGAAGAAGAAGTACACTGTATTGACAGCAACAACATTCAAACAATGCTACTATAACCACCAATCATCATTCCACCCCAGACAACACGAGAAGGACACCCGCCTATCGCAGTACGTGGGCCAAGAAGGATGAAGGGAAGGCATGCAGCATTCAATGGGCGGTACATCGCAGAGCAGTGGCCTACAGCAACAAAAGCAAAAGGTGCAACCTGTGCATGGCGGACATTTTGGCACAAGCACCTCTCTCTCTCTCTCTCTACAAGAGGAGTGAGCTTGTGTGAAAGTGTCGCCACGAGAAAAAGTACTACAGTCCATTTCAAAACTATAGACGCGTAGTGTTTTGCAAAATTCAATGGGATTTATTTAGATATTTTAAGTTTTTCTCCAGATTCCGTCTCTGCATCGCTTCACAATTCTGGCTACATACTTGGTTTTCGCTACAATTGAAGTTTATTTTTAGGCCAGGTTTTCTGGTTTTACATGTAATTTCTGTTTTGAAGGGTTTGACCAGTTTGTTTTAAGGGTTTGACCAGTTTGTTTCGGATTTTTGCTCCTGCTGAGACAGTCCTGCGCCCAGACCATGCAGACCGGCTTGACCATCGCGGGTGCATTTTGTACGGGTCCTGTTAGCCTCGTGGTTTCGATCCGTGATTTCCAGTACAAGTGTGGGGCATTAGAATCCCATCACGCCTCCTGCCTTTTTTCCCTTCTGTTCTGCATGTTTTGGATCTTGTTGGGTGAAATACAGTAGAGATGATAATTATATTTTCTCTTTTTGATTTGATTTGAGCCTCCCTGTTCCCTTCGCCTGACACAAGGAGTGACAGTGGTTTCACTCACGCCAGTTGCAAGGTGAGTTCAACGACGAGGATTTCAAAATCCAGCTCTTGTTCGAAGAAACAATGAACACGACTAGTCATATCTTTCTCGGCATCACTGAGATTCTTACGGGCCTTGGAAGCCATCACAGTCGGGCACTCGGAAAATGCAAACAAGAAGAAGATTCATTTGAGACTTTCATTTCTTTTGAGACTCTTCCTCACACCTTTTTATTTGCGACTTTGCGTGTTTTGCATCTTTTGAATTTGCCGCGGCGACGAAGAAGAACCTGAAAAACACATCTGAAAACCAGAAAAACACTCATGCAAAACTCAAGGCTGTCGTGCGCTACAGTACTTACGGCTCGTCCGTATGATTTCACGCGTCCATAGTTTTGAAATGGACTGTACCTTCGGACCTCCAAGCCATCCACAGCCATCACGTAATTAAGTAAGAGACAACCAGCTGCAGTGGTTGTCACCTTTCACCACTGTGGCATTCGCACTTTTTCGATTTGCCCCATGATGCAGTCATCTATGCCTTGCACTGCCGCCATTCACAACTTTTAGATTTGCGCCGTGATGCAGCCATTTACACTTTGCTTTGAGGATATACAAACCAGTACGAGGTGAATAGCAATTTCAGGACAAGAAAATAAAATAGAGGCCCACTGGCTGTGTGTTTTACATTTTTCATATCTTTTTGTATCTATTGTATGGCCTAATCCTTCATCTTTCCTAATATGTTACAATTGCTTATGCTGTGATCCCAGAGACTTTATAGGCGGCTGTTTTCTACAGGCCAATTTTTTGGCCTAAATTTCAGTGTATGGAATTCTGCACATGAAAGTAAAATAGCGTCAATAGGCATCCTATACTGCACCATTTTTGTTATTTTTTTCTATTGATGGACTGCAGTTGGCCTCTTCACACTTCCCGCCAACAGGTCCAAGACTATACAGCGTCTGAGGTGGAGTGCACATGGGGAAGCCAACGATTTGTCCATTACTTCTTATTTTACTCAAAATTCAAAATTCTCATGCGACATAGTACCACAAACTCGTTGAAGTGCCTCCCAAGAAAAGTCTATCAACAAGGCACCGACACGAGGAGAAACTACAACAGGCAAGCTGTCAACTACAACTATAAAAAAACTTCATCAACCTGACTGACTTGACTCTACACGCGACGACAAAGTATTTTACTCGAAATGTCCAGAAATGTACAATGTTGAGAAATAGCAATTCACCTCGTACTGATCCAGATATACTCATTCCTCTTGTCTGATGATCGCTTAGTGTGTGAAACTCAGAGTTCTCTTGTTGTTTTAAAGAAAGGATCTTAAATTTACAAGTTATCAGCAGGGACGTAGCAGCCGCTGGGGCGGGTTCGGCTTTGGCCGGACCACTTGAACGCCCGGCCACGACCACCATAGTAAAACAATGCCAAAAGTGCCCAGAATGCAGGATTTGCACCCTAATTTCCAAAAAAACAGGGTGGACATCCCCCGGCCCCCCTGGCCGGACCACTGCCAACGGCGGTGCTACGCGCCTGATCAGTGTTGTCCAACACTGTCCTGTTTTTAAAAATTCATATCAAAAGGCAATAATATTACCTGAGCAAAGAAAGGGATAAAGGAGCACAGTTTTGCACTGGAACATTCGCAAGATGGAGCCGATAAGCGTGTAAGGTGGCGACAAATTTCAAAACAGTGCCTGGTGAGGGCATTAAGCTGCCTCGTTGAATCAGTAGCCAAAAACATGCGTGGACGCCGAGGGCTAGGGGCTTTTTGGATGTGAAGGTCACTGACCTTGACCATGCGACCAGAAGACTCGCAGCCATATGTCCTTTTCCTTTAAAAATTTATTATTAGCTCCACATCCGAGTTTCAAGTTTTTAATTTCAAGCTGTTATAGTCAACATAGCCGCATTTCGATCCTTCACAAACCCGAGAGAAATTCCTTCCAAGAGATGTTCTATCCTAGTGAGTGCAAACACTTGATATTGATCACAGCTGAATGGGGAAAGTCTGGATCAACTTAGGTCCTAGAGCTAAAACCGTCTTCGAATTCGGTGCACTCTTCAGCGCCTAAACATGTGATTTACTCCGAATAGTTAACTTCTTTCTCTTTGCTCATGGCTTCGGTCATTGTGAATGTTTTGTGATGCTTGACCATACGACCAGAAGGTGAGTGTACAACAAACGTGCAAGAAGGGTGTTACATGGAAACAAGGAAAATGGTTGGGCAAAAGTCATGAGTTAGAGTCCACAAACTACACAAAGTTTTGAACAGTCACACATGCACAGTATAGCAGCAGACTGAAAAGGAGCACTGAGACATTCCACGGCCAGGAAGTGAGCTACAATTCATCTGAGTACAAGAATGGTGGGCTGTTGCTTTTACGGAATTTGTTTGTTTGTTTGTTTGTTTAAATGAAGTTGAAGACACCACTGCAGCTGTACTTATGGTTGATAAATATGGTGGTAAAGACAGAAGGTCACTGACCTTGACCATGCGACCAGAAGACTCGCAGCCATATGTCCTTTTCCTTTAAAAATTTATTATTAGCTCCACATCCGAGTTTCAAGTTTTTAATTTCAAGCTGTTATAGTCAACATAGCCGCATTTCAATCCTTCACAAACCCGAGAGAAATTCCTTCCAAGAGATGTTCTATCCTAGTGAGTGCAAACACTTGATATTGATCACAGCTGAATGGGGAAAGTCTGGATCAACTTAGGTCCTAGAGCTAAAACCGTCTTCGAATTCGGTGCACTCTTCAGCGCCGAAACATGTGATTTACTCCGAATAGTTAACTTCTTTCTCTTTGCTCATGGCTTCGGTCATTGTGAATGTTTTGTGATGCTTGACCATACGACCAGAAGGTGAGTGTACAACAAACGTGCAAGAAGGGTGTTACATGGAAACAAGGAAAATGGTTGGGCAAAAGTCATGAGTTAGAGTCCACAAACTACACAAAGTTTTGAACAGTCACACATGCACAGTATAGCAGCAGACTGAAAAGGAGCACTGAGACATTCCACGACCAGGAAGTGAGCTAAAATTCATCTGAGTACAAGAATGGTGGGCTGTTGCTTTTACGGAATTTGTTTGTTTGTTTGTTTGTTTAAATGAAGTTGAAGACACCACTGCAGCTGTACTTATGGTTGATAAATATGGTGGTAAAGACACACCTGGCAAAATGGCGTGTGTGAGCAGGCGTGTGTTTACCGCCATATTGCCAGGTGTGTCTTTACCACCATATTTATCAACCATTAGTACAGCCGCAGTGGTGTCTTCAACTTCATTCTCCCGAGTCAAGCTCCGTATGAAGACATCCAAGAAGAAGATTGCCTGATGAGTCCAGCGGGGACGAAACGTACGTCGCAATCGAGCTATGTCGTTGCTGTGTCATCATCTATGTGCCATGCGCTACTTGATGTACCAGCCTGCTATGCCGGATACCGCCAGCCATGCATCGACCAGGCGCAAGGCGCGAACTGATGGTGGTGGTGGTGAGAAGGAGAGCTCTGTGCCAGAACTTTGCAGCCTAGAGAGCGTGTTTAGGCAGGCGTGTGTTTACCACCATATTGCCAGGTGTGTCTTTACCGCCATATTTATCAACCGTTTGTTTGTTTAGCTTTATTTTACTTCACCAGAAGCTAGGGCAAAATCTGCCTTCTCACTGGGCGTATTGCCACAGTTCTTGCAAAATGATGAAGATAGTGATAATGATAAGAAAAGGATGTAGAGGAAAGTGCAACAATGAGCAGGGCACAAAGAGAAGACGGAAACAAATAAATGAGGGAGTGCAACAAGTGACCAATTTGCTCCTCTATACAGGCCCCGGATCACATGGGCAGATCTCTTTTATGGACAATAATATTTTTTCGAGACGAGCATAAGAATATCAGGATTACTAGTGTGTACCCTCCTGATATATCACAACTCCTTGATTGGATAATTCACAACTCCTTGATTGGATATATCACAACTCTTTGATTGGATATATCACAACTCCTTGATTGGATATATCACAACTCCTTGATTGGATATATCACAACTCCTTGATTGGATATATCACAACTCCTTGATTGGATATATCAAAACTCCTTGATTGGATATATCACAACTCCTTGATTGGATGCCTAACTAGGTATGGTTCAAACATCTCACCGTTCTGGTTGACTTACGAATTTCACACGTAGCAAAAAACTTGTCACTTGGTCTAACATCCTTCTCATTTATATCTTTGTATGTAGTGGAACCCCCTAGCCACGAATGGATGGCCAAAGCAAAGCGACGTAAATGGCATCTTCCAGCCTTGGATCTCAACGTCATCAACTTTCCTTTATATAGTCGGCAAAGTTGACGTGCGTCATCACGAAGAAGTGGAATGCGTGATGATGCAATTATGGATTGACTAGCTTGGCAGTAACGATGTTCGATCAGGTTTGAAAATGGAACTGAACCTGCAACCATTGACAACACAGCACAGCAGACAAGCAGAGAAACTGTCGCAAAGGCATGCAAACACCCATCAACACATATATTTACATGCATGCAAACACCCATCAGCGGTTTTTCCAGTCGTGCAGCTACCCACAGTCAACTGGAAACTTGTGGCCAGGCACAAGGGGGTACATGGATGCAGCTAATGGGGTCGTTCTTGGCACTTGTGCCAGTGGTTGTGAGACTTATCCACTCACCCCCACCGTTAGGCGCTGTATCTGCCGCTAGGGTTTATCGGATGTTAGCGGCCGTCGTGAGTTCCCTTCGGGAACGGACACGATAATTTACTTTAACTTTACTTTTAACACCCATCAGCACATGTATTAACACATTTCCATCAGCCAACAGGAAGCCTAGCAACACCAAGAGCAACTGACATACAAGAAGCAGGTTCAGAAAGACAACATTCTTGCATGACACGTTAGCAGACCGAACAAGACAGACTCAAACATCTCAACATTCTAGTTCCACACTGCATAGAATGTAATAGGGGAGCGCAAGACTTTGCGGGTCCTGTCATGTACATGATTACATGGACTAGTGATCACATCTGAACTAATTGCTAATTCGTGGCGGTTGGTTCTAACCCCAAGCCGCCTCCCCTTGATCCGCCGCTGAACAGGCACAAACAGTGCAGCCTAAAACGTCAAAATGTAACGTAATATTAGTACTTGTGAAGGTTAGTGAGATATGGATGGGTAAAGATTCTACTACTAAAGAATGGAGAAAGGTGGGGTGATTGAGTATTATCAAGAGCCCATTAGCAGTATTTTGTTTGTTTATGAACTCTTCGCATTTTGTGAAGAGTGTGCGTGTGTGTTTGTGTGTGTGTGTGGGGGGGGGGGGGGGGGGGGGGTATTTTCCTTCTGCTTGCACACAACAGGACCATGGATATGTAGGTAGACAGCTTCTCACTGGAAAATTGAGATTAAAATTATCAAGAATGGACTCGAATGGAGAGCCAAGGAAAATTTTATAGTAGAGAACCACGGGGAGAGGACCTTGTAACTACGGGTTACGCTATAATGTCCACAAACACCACCGGTTACAAAACAATCAGCACATGTGATTAGTGTTTGTTTAGTAACTGGTAAAGCAAATGTGCTTACATAATATTACAACACAAAAATCTCAATACAAAAAATGAACAAAACGCCAAGAATCTGAAGAAAAAGACTCAATCCAATACTTTGTTGCCATAACGGGAACTGAAACCCAACACAAATCTGAGAAGAGGGCAGTTGGCGGTCACGTGGCAACAAAATCACCAAACGTAAGCACTGACAATGTTGAAACAGGGTTGTAGGAGACAAACTACAAGTAAGCAGGCAACGCATACAAAGAAACAATCAGAAAGTTAAAATACATTTATTATCGTCTAGACCACTGACCTGGACAGGCAGCGGTGCAAGAAGCCGTGGTCTCGCCTACGCCCCATACAACCCTTGCATTCGCGGAAGCATGTTATGGCCCAACGGAGCAGGGTAAACAACAGGAGGCTCCGAAGCTCACCCATCACTACCGAGTAGGCAAGCTCGCTATGCTTCTCCACCAGTTGCGGCGCCGGTGCCTTCCAACACAATGTTGTCTCTTTACCGCTTATGCCGGAGGTACTGAAAACGAGAGGAGTGAAAGCTCCACGGTCCACTCTGTTCACTCTGTCACTTATGTTCTTTTTTTGGCCTTTTCATTAGTGGTGGTGTTAGTGGACATCACAGACTAACTTGTAGTAACGTGGTCCTTTTTTCTCCACCAGTCCCTAAACAATCAGTTCACACGATAACAGTGTTATCGCACAAGCTGATTGTTTAGTAACCGGTGCTGTCAGTGGACACTATAGCGTAACTTGTACTCTCTTGGTCCTTTTATCTTTACTATAAATTTAAAATGATCAGTGCTATACTGTATGAGGTTTTACTTACTGTGACAGGATGACAGGACTGGGCTCAATGACTGATAACCATTGCATGTTACCAGAGGATTTCCAACTATAACGTAACCGCTTTGACATGAATACTTAGCCACTTCAAGATATTTTATGACCGAAGCATTTACCATGCCAAATTCCAATCTCTCGGGCGAACATACAAACTCTGGGCACAGGATTGGTAAAGAAAATCAAGAAAAGATATGATAACTCACATGGTATAGTCCTTAAGTTCAAATAATATACATGTACCTAAAACAGAAACATGTATTCAGCTGGTAGTGGTGGTAGCGATAAAAAAGGATTCCTTTGCGGAAAACTCTAACCGAAAATGGGTGGATACGCATACCGTAATGTCGCGTGCATAAGCCGGATTTGTGCATAAGCCTGTCTCGTGTAGAAGCATGAAATCTGCAACAGCTTTTCGCGTACAAGCCTGTCGCATGCATAAGCCGGGCCAGTACACGAGACGCGCCACGTGTCGCGAGCGTAAGCCGGGCTACTACGCAAGACTGGTGAGCGCGCCTTTTACATGTTCATGTTTGCATGGTACCGTACACTTGCACACGCGGAAAACGTGGGAAGATGCGGAAATCAACACCAGCAAGTCAGCAGTTTGCGCATACAAGCCTGGTCATTGAGTGGTGCTTGTCATATAAGCCTGTCTCGTGTATAAGCCTGTCTTGTGTACAAGCCTGACTCCATCGCCGGCTTATAGGCATATAAGCCCCGGCTAATGCACGCGACATTACGGTATGCTTCATCGAAAATGAGTGGTTACGCGCATGCTTCTTCAAAATGAGTGTACATGCGCATGCTTCATCGAAAATGATTGGATGCGAATGTGCTTCATCGGAAATGAGTGGATGTGAATGTGCTTCTTCGGAAATGAGTGGATGTGAATGTGCTTCTTCGGAACTGAGTGGATGCGAATGTGCTTCTTCGGAAATGAGTGGATGTGAATGTGGTTCTTCGGAAATGAGTGGATGTGAATGTGCTTCTTCGGAAATGAGTGGTTACACGCATGCTTCTTCGGAAATGAGTGGATGTGAATGTGCTTCTTCGGAAATGAGTGGTTACACGCATGCTTCTTCGGAAATGAGTGGATGTGAATGTGCTTCTTCGGAAATGAGTGGATGTGAATGTGTTTCTTCGGAACTGAGTGGATGTGAATGTGCTTCTTCGGAAATGAGTAGTTACACGCATGCTTCTTAGACTTATGTACTACATGCATACTGTATAAGCTTCACAAGGACAAAGACAAGTTCGTTTATAGTTCTCCTCATCACTTTATCCAAGAGTACATAAACCAGAATGTGAAACTGCGCATATCAGATCTGAAACAGCGCTGTTCGTGCACTACGTCACCATGATGAGGTCAGCCAAGCTGCGACTTTCGTACAGCTCAAATTTTCATGTTTCACAGTCCGGAAATCAGCCAATTTTGCATGATTATTAGACGTCCTGTTTTGATTTCGGTGTTTTTGTGCGACTGCGTAAGCTGTGTACATACACCGGCAAGTAAATTCACCAGGCTTCCCGTCTCAAACAACCGAATCACGACAAACTCAGCGACCTGCACCACTGTGACTGGTTACGCAACTTTTCACCGTACCTGCGGCTTACCATGCCGTCATAAATGACGTACTGCACGAATTACGCTCCCACAGGAACCATCCCGAGTTGCACACTTTGGTTTATGTACTCTTCTTTTATCCAACAGAGCACAATTCATTAGGACCAGTAGGTCGATCATAGTCACAAAGTACGTTTTCCAGCAGGAGGTACGTGTCGTGACCCGGCAAAACATTACTCAATACGCAGGCAGCATGCTGTTTCGTTCTTTGTGAACTCATCAGCTCGGCACAGAAGAAAGGAGACCGAACCTGATAGCAATGAAAATAAAATTTCCAAAGCCAGATTTAAATCAGGCCCAAACGTACCTTGCAAGAGTGCTCAAACTGACAAGTAAATGAGCTATGCGTAATGCAAACAGCAAAGGCACTACCCCACATGAGAGTGCTCAACTACTACAAGAGCAGGAGCGAAAGTACTCAATCTGCGGACAGCAAGCATTAATATTATCTGGCTGGACTTACCTATACAGCGAGGGACTGAAGTAAGGGTTCCATCACTCTTGCACGTTGGAGCCGCATCGCCCTCAATTCTCCGACCGGCTATGCATGTATAGGTTACAGGGCGTGTGAAGAGTACTTCTCTCAGGCTAGCCTGGCCATTAGCAATAGGAGGTACATTACATTTCACGTCTGTGCACAGAATCAAGACAACAAACGTTCTTAGCAGACTGCCGAAACAAAGAGGCAAATCCAAAGACGGAGACAAGGTCATAGTTTTGAGAGCTTTCAGCTTGCAGTGCCTAATGGACAATATTTGGTCCACCCATGCCCAGGGACCGGAATGTTTTCCTTTGAAGCTGCTCCAAACTACAAAGTATAATGGACCTTGCACTTGAGGCGTGTTGACATGTGAAACGATTGTGTCACTTCGAAGTACTTTATAGAGAACCCAGATGGACACAGCTGCTGTTTTGTGGACAAGTGACTGATTCTTTTTTTTGACTGCTTTATGTTGCATAGACATTACAAACATGCCTATGTCCGCAAATCCACGAATGGCCAAGGTTGCAAAGCCAAACAAAATGCAACATAAATGTGCAAGATCTTCTGCAGCCAGTTCATTCCATGGTAAACCCAACACACACACATACACACACCATCCTCAAAGCAAGTAGTCTCTTTAATGTAAATAATAACTAATGATGCTTAGCTGCATCTCGTCTAGAATGCGCAAACCAGCAGCCTTCCAGCTTGGAAGGTTCTAAGTTATGAAGTAACGTAAGAAAGGGGAAAGTTAGCGCACTCTAGATGAAAACAAGCTAGACATCACTGCGAACTAAGAATGCTAGCTATGACAAGATGGTAATGAAGGACGAAGGACCATGGCACAGGACAGCCACAGCTCACTTCGAAAACGCCCAACTTGGGAAGCTCATGTTATCAGAGATGAGCAAAAAGAGGGGAAGATACGCGATCATGAAGCAAGACAGACCGTACTATACTCCATGTTTAATGTTCTTGTTTGTTTATATTTTTTCCAAAAGTCCAAAACAGGCCCTAGACTGATAACAATGGTTCCACTAGTGAGGGAATGCTGCATTTTTTTTTTTTTTACTATGGTCACATTCCCAGCTCGAAAATAATAAAGAAAGACAATCGTACTGAGACTAGGACGAACGTGACAACTATTGAGCAGGGGCTGCACCGAGACGCAGCAGTGATGGTGGGGTCTCGATGGCTTTGCTTTCAACACCAAATCTTGACACTTGTACTTGTACTGCACCAACATGCACGCAGAGGATCAGGAGGGGAAAGGGTCCTCTCGCTTTTCATCCCGTGTGTGATTATTGTGAGGTTTTGTGTGACATTTTAATTTCGGCAATCACAGTTCGTTCCCTTTACCATCCGTGCGTACTTGAATCGATCTCTAGAGATTAATGGACATGCATACACTAAAACATTCGTAACTCGATCGATTCGTGGCGGAATGTAAAAAACTAAGTCTCTAGGAAGAAGTCGAAGAGCTCAGCTTTCCATTGCATCAATCAGTGAAGAGCTGCGATATCGCATTCCAAAGATATTACGCTCGACATTTCAGCAACGGCAAAAGTCGAATTTCTTTCCGAGGGACTGACCTTGAGCGGGGGATTTCCCCTCTCCTGACATGCTGAGTCACTTTGGCATGCTTTGAGCGCGTAAGCAGCATGAAAAGGAACTCAAGCAAAACATTTGGAGTGTTTACGATGAAGGAGCAAGAAATGGCTGGCGAAGAGACAATTTCGTCGTTTATCCAGCGATGGGGTCCATTCGCAGCTCCCTGGCGCTGGATATGTGATTTCGGTAGTGTCCTGTTTGAGCTCAATGTACGCAGCTCGTGGAGAGCTTTCCAGAATGCCCAAGATTGTGAAAAATGGTTGATTAGAACCGAAGATTTTCTCAGAATAAGGTGGGAATTATTGCATTTGGGACTGCTGGGGAATTTTGGTCGGATGGTAAAGGGTTAAATTCTTACATTTTTTTCACCCACTTCCAGTCATCGCAGAGAAACACGAATAACACCATCGTGATCAGGAACCAAAGAACTACAATATAAGACAAAGAAAATTGTTGGTGACATTTCCCCTTTATTAACATTGATATTTTATCCTTATTCTCCCTATGTCCGTGGCCATCATCACAATTGCTGCCATGTTATTTGGTTCAGGCCACACTCTATAAGTCCATGCGATGCATTTCTGGTAATGGAACAGAAACATGGAATTGTTTTAGCTAGTGACAAAATATGTTGCCAACAAGAGGCCCTTCTCGCAAGTGCATAGGCATTGATGCCACATTATCTGAGCAGATCAAAGTTTCACTTACCGATCGCGCATATAGGGTGCAACTTGACATTCAGGTTGCGTAAATTGCCGGCAGTATCCAATGCTTGGCTACGAGTCTTTCTCTGGGGCCCTCTCCATCCTATCATGTTCGGTTTGGTGTAGTGACTTGCACATTCGTCGGCATTCCATAATCCGGATAGAAGCTGTCCATTTTTGCCTTCACAAAATAATTCAGCTGTATAGTAATCAAGTGTGATGTCGGATATCTCTGTTAATCTATTCAATGGAGCGCAATATATAATTTTGTCCTTGGCCGGTAATATAGCTGTAGTCACAGACAACCCAACAGACAAGCATGCGCATCGAGATCATTGCCCTCACATCACGTCTTTAGATGTTAAATGCTGCAGTATTATGGAAATAGAAATCGTGGATGATCTCTTAACCAAACACAAGGTAACACCGATATACGATTCTAATGGTTTCTTGTGCCATTCATCATGAAAGCTAGGGAGTAAGAAAAGACCAAGAACGAATGTCCGGAAATTTGATCGTTGATAAAATTAATGTGACAAGTAAGCGTTTGAATCGTATCTCGACTGTTGATGAGTATTTTTCCATTTTTCTTTCCATACATGGAAAACGTTCCTGGGTTGCAATGCCTTCCCAGCATTGTGTGTGCGAGATTCCGTCTTATATTTCCCTCCAAGGATCCCAGATATCCACCCGAGGAGATTTCAACTCCAGTAAGACATTTGTTGATCCGCCATGGTCTCCATGGTTTCATGTGGAGATTTATGCTCGGCTTGTCATGGGGACGGCATGGCCGGGTAATGCTAGTTATTAAAGAGATCAACAGAAGCATAGATGGGGGAGTCCCTTAGCCGGTTTGTACGTGTTGTGGGCAGCTGAAAGGTTCGGGGGAACCTGAGTATGCTAATGGGTTGTATACGGGGTAGGTGAATGGCAAGAAGGATATGGGCAGTTGTTGTTGTTGTTTCAAATCTTTATTCTCACGATAGCCAGTGGCCAAGAAGAGATAGTAGTGTAAGAAAGGAGAAAGAGTGAGGAAGAATTGGGTGGCCAGGGCCTAGGGGTTAATGACTACTTAAGGGTACGGGCAGGGGTGGTCGCCACACGAGCATACAGAGTTGCATACTTAAGTGTACGGGCAGGGGTGGTCGCTACACGAGCATACAGAGTTGTGCAACAGCAGGGATATCTCGGATTTGAAGGGGAGACAGCGGTCAGTCCGCAGAGTTGGCAAGTGCCAAGTACGAGAGCGACGTAAATTATACGAAGGTTGCACGTTGCTAGCAGTATGCAGCGAGGGTATATGTGGTGGGGCATAATTGTGGCGCAGAGAATGCGCGAAGAGTATATGTTTAACTTTAAAGCGTGAAAATAATGTTGGCCATTTGATGCGATGCAAAAGGTGGGAGTGTTCTAAGTGTGTGTAAAGGGGAAGGTGGAGACATATTCTGGCGGCTTTCCGCTGGAGTCGTTCTAGCCTGTCAAGGGAAGTGTGGGACAACGGTGTGAGAGCATTGCTCGCATATGAGAATATAGGTAGTATGTATGTCTGATAGATGTGAGATAAAGAATCACTGGTGAGTGTAGACCTTAGTCTAAAAAGAATATTGAAAGACTTGAGTGATTTTTTGACTATGTATTCAACATGCTCCGTCCAACGGAGGTCATGCTGAAAGATTATTCCGAGGTGTTTGTGTTTTTGTGCTACGGTAAGCGGACTATTCCTGAGGGTGATCTGGGGTAGCTGTTCAGGGGGGCGGTTATTGTGGTAGAACGGGAGGATGACTGTTTTCTTTGTGTTAACCAGCAGGTGCCATCTTTGAAGCCAGTCTCCAGCTGCTGTGACACTCTGTTGTAGGTTTTGGGTGCAGTCTTGAAGAGTTCTCGCTAAGGAAATCAGAGCGGTGTCATCTGCAAACTGGCTACAGGTGGTGCTGGGATTCTCACATGCGTGTGGAAGGTCTATGGTGTAGACGAGGAATAGAAGCGGCCCAAGAACAGATCCCCGAGGGACGCCGGCAGGGATCTCGAGGAAAGGCGATAGGTCGCCATCCACCTGGACACTTTGCCGACGCCCCAAGAGGTACCGTCGGAACCACTCCAGGGCGTTGCCCTGGACACCATAGTGGGAGAGTTTTGCTAGAAGGCCTGCATGCCACACACGATCGAAGGCCTTGCTTAGATCGAAAAAGCAGGCATTGACGTGTTTCCCGTCGTCTCTCGCAGTGGAGAGGGTATGGACGAGACGGGCAAGTTGCTGCTCAGTGCCGTCTTTCTCGCGGAATCCGGACTGCTGGTTGGGCAGGTGGGGTGTGATGTGCTTGTAGAGGAGTTGATGTGCATTTTTTTTCTTGGATTATTGATGTAGTGCTCAAGAGAGAGATGGGTCTATAATTTGTTGGTTGGGTTGGGTCACCCGGCTTGGGTACTGGAGTAATGGTGGCATCTTTGTTGTTGTTGTTGTTGTTGTTGTTGTCGTTGTCGTTGTCGTTGTCGTTGTCGTTGTCGTTGTCGTTGTCGTTGTCGTTGTCGTTGTCGTTGTCGTTGTCGTTGTCGTTGTCGTTGTCGTTGTCGTTGTCGTTGTCGTTGTCGTTGTCGTTGTCGTTGTCGTTGTCGTTGTCGTTGTCGTTGTCGTTGTCGTTGACGTTGTTGTTGTTGTTGTTGTTGTTGTTGTTGTTGTTGTTGTTGTTGTTGTTGTTGTTGTTGTTGTTGTTGTTGTTGTTGTTGTTGTTGTTGTTGTTGTTGTTGTTGTTGATGTTTCAAATCTTTATTCTCACGATAGCCAGTGGCCAATAAGATATAATAGTGTAAGAAAGGAGAAAGAGTGAGGAAGAATTGGGTGGGCAGGGCCTAGGGGTTAATGACTACTTAAGTGTACGGGCAGGGGTGGTCGCCACACGAGCATACAGAGTTGCGTACTTAAGTGTACGGGCATAACAGGTATAATTTACGCTGAGGCTAGAGATGGCCAGGTCCAAGCACGATGTAGGTGTGTGTTGGCGTAGGTGGGTGGCAAAGGAGACGTGTTGTGTGAGGCCACGAGTCTCGCACAGCCAATGCAGGTCCTCACCTAAGGCATCGGTGGTGTCGCTGGGGTGCCACAAGCAGTTTGCAGCAAGGCTTGGCCGATTGTTATTCTAATCCAAATACATTCCGCTTGAGTCATGGGAATGGTAATTGTCTCGTGTTGGCAGCTGTGTGGTATGTATGTGGCGACTCCTCCACCAAAGGTGTCCCGGTCCGCTCTTATGAGTTTGTAGCCGTTGATGGCGTACATCCCGTCGCTGTCCGATGGATTCGCCCAGGTTTCCTGGATGGCCATTGTTGACGGTTGTTGCAACTTTGCCACGTGGCTAAGCTCGTCCATCTTGTTGAACAGACACCTGACGTTCGAGCTGATGAAATTCGCGACTTCCATTATTTTTTATTTATTTTTGTAATTTGTTTCTAAACAATCGACGAGGAGACAATAGTCGTAAAATGGCAATAAATAAGCTAAATTGTGCACTCATAACAACAGCAAAAATGAAGAAAGTCAAGTTCCATAACGTTTTCTTGTGACTGTCATCAGTGGAACGCCGTCACATAAAAATGTAATAACTAAAACACACACTTATATACATGTAGCTAATATGGTTTCAGGTAGAAATACAGCAGCTAACAAGTACAAAAAGCGAAGTTTGCACCTTTGTAATGTGTGAATATAGTGTATGTGAGAAAGGTAGTGCTATGTAAACAGAAAGAAAACGTTGTATCACTCACACTCTTCAAATAATACACACGCACCATTACATTCATTCACACAGTATCACATTCATCTGCCACTACCTTTCTCACATACACTATATTCACACATTACAAAGGTGCAAACTTCGCTTTTTGTACTTGTTAGCTGCTGTATTTCTACCTGAAACCATATTAGCTACATGTATATAAGTGTGTGTTTTAGTTATTACATTTTTATGTGACGGCGTTCCACTGATGACAGTCACAAGAAAACGTTATGGAACTTGACTTTCTTCATTTTTGCTGTTGTTATGAGTGCACAATTTATCTTATTTATTGTAATTTGTTTCGTTTTCTTTTTGGTATTTCCGCAATTGAAAGTATTGTTCTCACTGATATTGTGTGGAGGACAGCGCTAGGATTGAGTATCGTGTGACACCAGTGGGCTGAAGCGTGAGCCCTGTGCCGGGGCAAGGGGTTGGCTTTGGCCAGGGTCGATGTTTTTGTTGGTGTTGTTTCAAATCTTTACTCTCACGATAGCCAGTGGCCAATAAGAGATAATAGTGTGAGAAAGGAGTGAGAAAGAATTGGGTGGGCAGGGCCTAGGGGTTAATGACTACTTAAGTGTACGGGCAGGGGTGGTCGTAACACGAGCATACAGAGTTGTGCAACAGCAGGGATATCTCGGATTTGAAGGGAGTACGAGAAGGGATTTCGCGAAGCTGGGTGGGCAGGCAATCAAAGTAATGAAGGGCCTTGTACAGGGGAGAATGGAGACAGCGGTCAGTCCGCGGAGTTGGCAAGTGCCAAGTACGAGAGCGACGTAAATTATACGAAGGTTGCACGTTGCTAGCAGTATGCCGCGAGAGTATAATTGTGGCGCAGAGAATGCGCGAAGAGTATATGTTTAACTTTAAAGCGTGAAAATAATGTTGGCCATTTGATGCGATGCAAAAGTTGGGAGTGGTCTAAGTGTGTGTAAAGGGGAAGGTGGAGACATATTCTGGCGGCTTTCCGCTGGAGTCGTTCTAGCCTGTCAAGGGAAGTGTGGGACAACGGTGTGAGAGCATTGCTCGCATATGAGAATATAGGTAGTATGTATGTCTGATAGATGTGAGATAAAGAATCACTGGTGAGTGTAGACCTTAGTCTAAAAAGAATATTGAAAGACGAGTGATTTTTTGACTATGTATTCAACATGCTCCGTCCAACGGAGGTCATGCTGAAAGATTATTCCGAGGTGTTTGTGTTTTTGTGCTACGGTAAGCGGACTATTCCTGAGGGTGATCTGGGGTAGCTGTTCAGGGGGGCGGTTATTGTGGTAGAACGGGAGGATGACTGTTTTCTTTGTGTTAACCAGCAGGTGCCATCTTTGAAGCCAGTGTTGTTGTTGTTGT